GCCATGCTTGCGTGTTTGCTTGTTCGTTAGTGGTTTCTCCACCGTGTGCCTTTTTCTGTCTCTTTCTTGTTATTTTTGGCCTGGTCCCTTTTTGTCTTCGCTCTGTTTCCTTTTATTTTCTTCGCTTTTTTTTTTCCTTTTCTTTTTCTGTGCCAGATGGCCTTGTCTCTGCTTGCGTTGTGAAGTACCAAGATTGAACCAAGGGGGTGTGCCTCTTTCTCTCCGGCCCGTTATGGTGACTCCTAGTCTCAGCTGTTATACCTCGAATTGCGCGCAGAGGGAGTGGAGGACTCTAGAATATCTGTCGTTCATTTCTTTTGACTTGCGGACCCCTCGGGGCCAGTTTGTTTGAGTGTTCCTTTGTAGGGTAAGTTAGCCTACGACCACGGGAATCGACCGCGTCGAGTGTTGTATCAGTACGGACATACGAAGGTACTGGGTAGAGAGAGATCGGAACGGTTTTTAATGTGAAGACAACAACAACCATAGGCATAGGGCCCATGCACAACAATTTGTCCAACATTCCCCCAGCACTGCTGTACCGAGGTACACTTTTCTCGGGGTGGGGTGGGTGATCGACACGTAAAAATACCGTGAAACGCCCTGCCTCCGCATCTTTGTGTTGTATGCTTACAGCGGCTCTTATTGTGTTCGTTCACTATATTTCCGAGAACTGGAAACTATTGTATCGTTTCAGCGTTTTAGTGAGGCGATACACTTGCTTAAGCGTATCCAAACATCTCAACGGATTTGAGCAGCTCTCAGAATTGCCTCAAGTGATTTCTTCGTTTTTCCAATGTTTGAAACTTATTAGTTAAGCGAGATACAGAGTATGTATTGACAATGTATGGGATCTGGAGGCCAGTTTCCATCGTTTCGTTATATACTTTATAAGATTAAAAAAATAAGTGCGACAAACGATTATTCCGATCAATTACCATGTCCGCCACCGCGCTCCTCCGAGCGACTTACAAGGAGGAGGTTCCGGACCTACTTGCGGTACCCTGCGCCACGACTGGGAGACCTCTCCGCAGCCACTATCCAGTGGCGGCGGCAGCAGATTGTTGTACAGTTTCGTTTGCCCCTCCGCGGTCTGGAGTCAGGGCTCCTGGAGCCAGCTCATCAAGTACTTCACTTTAACTTGGTCCAGTTCTTCAGGCGTTCCTTAGCCTTCCTTACGGAACGCCTTAAATTTTCCGATGAAGTTGCAGCTGTTGATGACCCAGCTCCAGCAGCGTTACCTCCAGACATCGTAAGGGGCTACGGAGCGCAGACTTTTTTATTACGTTCCGTTGCCCCCCCCGAAGTCTGGAGCCAGAGGGGCTTGATTTGGTTATCAACAACGGTACGCTGCGGAACACCTGTACTTAACGATCAACTTGCAGTTGTTGATAACCAAAAAGCGCCTCTGGTTACAGACTTCGGAAGAGCTAGAGAGCGTGGAATGTGTTGTGGCCACTGGATGGTGGCAGCGGAGGGGTCGGGCGCTTCCATACGTGGCGCAGTGTGGGCAAGTAGGTCTTGGCTTGTTCCTTGCAAGGCGCTTGGGAGCGCGTCGGCGGACACACTTATCGTCGACGTGGTCCCCATGTAGCACCTCTCATTCATTTGCGTGATCGCATGACGAGAAGGTCGTATCGTTCGCTCTCCAAGAGCTGTGTGCATACGCTCTTTTGTTGCCGCTAAGCGACGCCGTTTTCCCAGCTTGTCGCGACCCTCGGACTTTGTTTGTCATTTGGCAAGGTCTTGTGAGTAAATAAAATTAAGCCTTGCACGCAATCCTTGCTCACGTGTCCAGTGCCGAATTCTGATATTCTGCGGTGATGAATCGAAGTGAGACACCCTAGCAAAAGGGTGGTGGGTGGTGCAAGTTTTCGTCTATCTCTCCGACACAAGAGAGCCACGATAGTATTCGTTGATCCGTAGAGATTGCACTTGACTGGCGTACAGTTGTGATCCCGATACGTCGCGGGGTTTTGACCGACAACAATCGCGTTGTGCGGGACCCGCGCTACTGGGGGAAGGTTCCTCAACCAAAAGCTATATTGGGGGATGGTTATTGTACTACCTCGAAATTAAGTAATAGGCGACGGGTGTGCTAAGCATTTTGTCCGCGATATATCCGGAACCGCGCTATTCGGGACCGCGATACGATATATCGGGATCAATGTCGCTGTACATGCAAAGTTTTATTGTTTGGGAACTAAGTGAAACCGTTCAGCTACATGCCCAATGTTTCGAGCATGCCTCACCTGCCGCTTGATACTCTACTACTTTAGGACATGAACCACAGCTTGGGCTTGTTGTGCGGACAAAATTTCACGAGATTTGGGACCATAAGATACTGGTCCTGGGTCTCGTATTTTTGTATGTTTATGAAGTACAGGTTTCAAGTGTAGGTGACTTGAAGACCAAAAGGTGACCGCATACTCTGCCAGTGTGTGTTCAACACTACCTTGGTACATTCGATTTGTGTTCTTTTCCCTCCAAAAACGGACCTGACAGATTGGATACATGTGTCATTCCCCCGAACAGGTTTGTTATCGCTCCTGGGGAGTCAGCGACGACGGCGCCGCCGGCGACACGATCTCCGGAGAGCGCCACTAGCGCGTCGGGCGGCCCTTCCTCCGCGGTGCCCGGGAGCAAGGCGGCGGGGGCGGAGAAGCTGCGGCAGCTCGGCGTCGAGGTGTTCGACAAGTGAGTGGGAGTACGATACATGGGTACTGTATCTACCCTGGTCGGTTGCTGTCGTTGCTCTTTGGGGGCAACAGTGATGATGGTGGTGGTTGCTAGTGTCCGGGTTGTTCTTTGTGGTGGTGGTGTGGGGGTGCGGTTATTGTGGAATTTGCGTTGTAGCAGCCATTTCTTGTTGCTGTAACTACATTATCACTTTTTCGGGGGTAGGGTGAGTGAGGACGATGCCTACCCCGGTCGATGTTTTTCGCACTTTTGGCAACGGTGGTGTTGTTGGTTGGTTGTGGTCGTCGGCGGTGGTGTTGTTTGTGGGGTGATGGAAGTGATGCTGTTGTAGTATTTCCTTCTTTTTTCGCAATATCGACGCCTCTGAGAGCTTGTATGTAGCGCTGTCTGTTTTGGATGACTCTCTTGATGGCACATATATTCGCTCTCCGCATGCTCTCGTTGTGTCTGGTCCTTTTTTTTTTTGTTACACACGAACCCCACCCCACCCCACCTCCGTTTTGTGTGCTTGTGTGTGTGTGTATTTTTTGTTTTTCAGGACCACCGGGGAAACCCCAGGATGGGATTCTCTCGCGGGGTACGCGGACGTGAAGCAGGAGATCGAGGACACTCTCATCTTGCCGCTCAGACACCCGGTGAGTAAGAAGCCTCGCGATGACGGTGGCACCCGCCGCGCGTTGCTATGGGTGCTTGTGGTGCCATGGGCGTGCTCGCTTGACGTGTGGAGATGACCTCAAAGAATGGGTAAATTCTACCTTCAGGATGTCAAAAGGCCGAAGCCCTCTGTTCACAGACGTTAGGCCGAAGCCCTCTGTTCACAGACGTTTCCTTCACGTCCGATACAAAACATCGTTGGGTTGACCATGATGTATTTTTCGTTCTTGTTTCATCGGGATCGAGCAAGGAAGGAGCGTCTGGTGTTGGCGGCTGAGGAATTAGCCGGTCAGACAGAGACAGAGTGAAAGAAGGATAGGGTCAATCATCCTGTCGAAAGAGTGGGGAGAAAATAAAGCATTCAAGCAGACACACAGACAGGCAGACCAGAAACTAAAATGCGCCGCCTAATTCAGATAGGCCAAAATGATAGCATCCACCCTCGTGGGCAAACCACGTCCAAACCCCCTGGGTGGTGTTCATTTCATAGCCACAGTACTATTTTTCCCGGAGGTAGTCGGTTGGCGTTGGGAAGAATATTCATGGTCGTTCGTGCGTGGGTCGTTGTCAATATTTACATATTTATGGAGGGAGGCAGGGCGGGGGGTGAGATGTCTTGGCAAAACGGAACCGTCGACACCCACCCACAAGGCAAGCAACGCAGAACGAACGTTGAGCAAGGAAAATGAAACACTTGTCCCTCTCTCTCCCTCTCTCTCTCTCTGTTTCTCTCTGTCTGTCTGTCTCTCTCTCTGTCCCCTCCATCCCCCCCCCCCTCATCTGTCTCAGACGGAGTGAGGATCCTCTTACATCGTTCCTCTCTCTGTCTCCCTCTGACCGGATGATTCCTTAGCCTTAGCCTCCAACACCAAACTTTCCTTCCTTATTGTACTCGGTGTTTTCCTCTAACTGTCTCTCCGTGTCTCTCTCTCTCTGCCTCGGTCCACCCCAATGTCTCCCCTTCTGGCTGAAACAGGAGGTTTACGATGTCATCGCTCGAAAGACGCGCACCCAGTTCGAGTGCAACCGGCCCCGTGCCGTGCTGTTCGAGGGACCCCCCGGCACGGGCAAGACAGTCAGCGCCAGGGTCATCGCTGGCAGGTGAATGACGTCCGCCGCTGCTGTTACTAGTTTTTCCTTTTCTCTTGTTATTGGCGCTGTTTGGGTATTGGTCGAACGCTGGGACTGATTTTCCTTGTCTCTTGGTGGTGTTTTTCTCTGTGTTGGTTGAACGTGTTACTTATTTTCCTCGTCTTTTGATGGCGTTAATCGGTATTGGTCGAACGCTGGAAATGATTTCCCTTGTGTCTTGGTGGCGTTTTCTTCTCTGTTGATTGAACGCGATACTTGTTTTCCTTGTCTCGTGGTGGCTTTTTGATGTATTGGTTGAACGCTGGTACTGATTCCCTTGGTCTTTTGTTGAAGGCTCTTTCGTAGGTGTCAATTTTGTTCACCTGACGTTTGTAATGCATGACTGGAGTTCACTACTTCGATTTTTTTCGGCCGAAAACGTTTTGAACCGTTTCTACTGTAAGTACTGTATTCGTTGTCTTTAGGCACAACCTCCGTTTCTGTACCGTCTTTCTACCAAAATCTGGATCCGCCCTCTACTATTGTTTGGGTGTGTTGCGGTCATGAGTATTCGTTTGTATCTGTACCAAATGTACTGCAGATCCGACCGTCCGATGGTCCACGTCCCGGTGGAGAACATCATGTCCAAGTGGTACGGCGAATCCGAGAAGAAGCTTAGCGCTATCTTCGACGCGTGCGACGAGATGGGGGGAGCGATCATCTTCATCGACGAGGTTGACGCCCTCGCCGGGTCTAGGTCGACCGGGGGCATGCACGAGGCCACCCGCCGAGTGCTCTCGGTCATCCTGCAGAAGGTGTTGTTGTTGTTGTTGTTGTTGTTGTTGTTGTTGTTGTTGTTGTTGTTGTTGTTGTTGTTGTTGTTGTTGTTGTTGTTGTTGTTGTTGTTGT